CAGGATTACTCAAAAACTACTTAACTTATCCGACTGAAATTTAATACACATTTTAATAGTAGTAATGTCTCATGGATGAACCTAAAAGTAAGTTAAAATCACGGAAATAAACATGTTTTCTACTGCAAATACGAATACATTTTTTCTTTGAAATATTAAGCTTTTTGGTCTGAGGTCTGCCACTTTTCCACTCTTTAACTTTCTTTCGATATCTTAGGTTCATCCATTTACTTTTGCTACATGCTAATCATATTTCTTTGCTTAGCAGTTTCAGATAATAAGAACCGACACTAGACGCTTCACGACGCTTCTAGCACATCGTGGTGTATCTCCGCCATTTTGCATTTTATTTCAACAAAAAAAATTGCAAAATAAATTGACGTATTTTCTAAATAGTCCTCAAAACCTTACAAATATTTATTCATTCCTTATTCTTCGAAATAATTCTTGAAAATCGGCTTAATTTCGGATTTCTACATAGAGGTCTCCCCTTAATGGAAATCTTCATTTAGATATGAAAAAGCAAATTATCATTATTTAAAAAGTTGAATGTTACCAGTTAAAACTTGGTAACTTATAACTTCGTAATGTTAATGTCGTTTGCTCGAAGTGAATTTTATTTTACTTACTTTCCTTTCGGTTGAAGTTACATCATTACCGATAAGCGGGCTCACTTGACTTGTTTACTTTAGAAGACTCGATATGATTATTTGCAAACGTACGAAGAGCTTCGAAACGCGCATCAGACGTTTTAAACTTATTATATTTCGCCGTCTGACATTCTTGGAAATAAGGTTAACAAAAATATTTCTGCTGTAGCCACTTTGCAATATTCGTGTCCCAAATACGAAATATTTCTTCGCTGGTCGTGTCAACTGCTTTAAAAATTCGCGATTGGCTCGCTAATTCCAAAAAATTGAATGACGCTCGAATATAAACAGATCGTTGATAGTTTAACAAGTTCGAATCTCGATCGTTTAAATCGTTTAGCGAGCATTTTCGGGGAACGTTCCATTCTCTTTGACGAAATCCAAGACGTGTGAAGCAAATACTGATCCTCGTATGATCGTACCAGGCCTCTCGGTCCCTATTCGCGCGATACCTGCGCACGTTGGAATTCCTGAGTTAACGGGGTAAACCTATGTATCGACTTCTTCCCGGTTGATATTCATGTATTCATAGCCGGCAACATTACCGGATTTGTATTAGCGCCACAGGTGGCGATGTTGATTTAACTTTGCTCGGTTCGTAAAACTTAGAACAATCGGCCAATCCAATCGAGAAGCGAAATTGAACGAGACCATGCTGGGAAAGAAGGACTGGACAATAAAGGCCCCGTTTATTGCGATCCACCCCCCGGCGTTCTACCCCTACGATCCACAGGGGAATAATTTAATAAATTGCTTCTCGACAACCCATAACGCGATCCATCAAATTTATCGAAACTCTATAACTCGTCATCGATATGTGCCCCATGCGTAAACGACATTCTTGATTGCATTCATCGAGTTTCTTAGAATTAAAAAATTAACCAAAAATTTATAAAACTCTTTTATACGATGCTTTGATTTGAGGAAAATTAATATTTAAAATTCTTGGGCCGACGTGAGATCGACAGCGAGTTAGTGGCTGACGCGTCTGAGTAAAGCTCGATATTTCTACTTGTAAAATAGACAATATCGTAGCGAACGGTACTCTTCTCTAATATATCGACATTTTATCATATGTACCTCATGCGTAAACGACATTCTTGATTGCACTAACCATTCATTGAGTTTCTTAAAATGAAAAAATTAACCAAAAATCTGTAAAACTCTTTCATACGATGCTTTGATTTGGGGAAAATCAATATTCAAAATTCTTGGGCCAACGTCAGACCAACAGCGAGTCAGTGGCTAACGTGTCTGAGTAAAGCTCGATATTTCTACTTGTAAAATAGATACTATCGTGGCGAACGGTACTCTCTTCAGCAGTGTGTAATGCAGTGTGTCTAGAAGTAAAAATAAGACTAAAGTGTTATATAACAAAAAATTCATAAATGTTTTGTTAAGAAGTTGTGATACAAATATGAAATGTGATGTTTTTTTATTTACTAAACAAATAAATTTATCAAAATTTTGTTTAAAGAGAGCAACTGCTAGTTGAAGCACGAAAAAATATTTTTAACGTAGAGTTATGTAGATAACTTAAATATTTATTTATCAGAGTTTAGTTTCTATCATTTATCTTAGGTGATGAAGTATTCTTTTTTCGATGATAACATTTTTTTATGATAAAATTTTGACTATTATTCAAGTTTATGTTCAGTAAATTAAAGAGACTCAAGATATCGAATTCTTATAAAAGATTGATTTTATTTTATTATAAATTTTTTTCCTTATTTTAATGTCCTGAATCTCAACCGAGTTTCACAGTTCATTTTGTAATAACTTTTTAACAAAACATGTATGGATTTTTTGTTATATAACATTTTAGTCTTAGTTTTACTTGTATAACACACTGCTGAAGTGTGTACGAAAAAATGCGAAACATCCTGTATATCGACATTTTACCAAATAATTTTAGTTTTTTTCATAAGATGACGTATACGTCTTAATTATATTATGTCTCTGAGATAACCAATAACAATATTGATGACGGTTGCCAGCATCATCAACCTGAAATATTAAAGTAAATGCCTTGCAAGTTTATATTTAAGAAATAACTCGAATTTAAAAAAAGCCTCGACCGATCAAAAGTGAAAGAAAGAAATTTAAATCCTGAATTAATTCAAATAAATGTAACAAAAATTTGGAAACCAAATTCCTACTGTATGCATTTCGGTAAACAATTATACGAGTCTGAAACAAATGTATTTCGAACAGTAGCAGTTACTAACACTTTTTTTCATATTTAAAAAATTACTCGAATTTCAAAACAGACTCGATCAATGAAAAGTAGAAGAAGGAAATTTAAATCCTGAATTAATTCTAACAAACATTACAAAAATGTGTAAACCATCGCTTCGTACTGTATTGCGTTTAGGTAAACTATTATATGAGTCTGAAACAAATGTATTTCGAACAGTAGCAGTTACTGACACTTTTATTATTTTTCTTTGCGACTTTATTGCGAGCATACTCGGTCGTATAATTAAATATCGTCATTTCTTTCGCATCATGGAGCCGACCTGGTTTAGTAGGATCCACAGCGTTGTAAATATATCGCAGCTAGTTGCCGCGACTCTCGAGACTTTTATCTCTTTAGAAGCGGATTCGAGCGGTCCAAATATCCTACGTTCCACGGAGTTGGGAATTTGGTAGAATTTAATTCCGAGACGCAGAAGAAAGGCAGGCTCTCGCTCTCGGTGCGCATTATCCGCAACAACTCCTTGCATTCATCTTCCCTATCCGGCGGTGTTCACACACGCGCGTGTATTCCAGTCCCTGGTTGAAACAATGACCGCTCTGTAGGGCGATTTCCGAGCATCCTGAAACACCGTCGGCCATCCATTTTGATGTTCGGGCCCCGGGATGTTTCAATAGCAATGCACGATACAGGAATTCGTTTGATGGTGCAGTAGTACGCGAAAGCCATCGAGTTTTCGAATGGTGTGCCGTTACTTTGGAAAATTAATTAAACGTCCCTCAATTCTTATCACTTCCCAACATAGAAAATGGGAGAAATAAATTTCAGAACTCCCCGAACAATTAAAAAAAATGTTGCATGTTGCGTTAAAGTTGTATATTTGAGATTTATATTTCAACGTTAATGTTTTGAAACGTTACGTCGATAATAAGGAACACCTCCAAGATCGAAATTAAAATGTAGAAGTAGCATGAAATCAGTACTTCCATTGGAATTCATTTTGCCGTTGAACGAATTTTGCAACTTCGGGACTGGAACTTTTAGTCGAAACTACTTAAATTGTTTCTTCTGAATTTGCAACAAAACTCATCATATTACACGAACTCTAACGAACTTTTCAACTCCCGAACCTGACTTATTTTCAATTTTATGAAAACTTCCAGCGCCGGGAAAGTCAGCATCAAGATCACGCGAACGGCAATGAAGCATAAAATCAATCCATAAATTTCGAATTGTATGCACATTTTGAGAGCGTACGGAGCAAGATACAACGAATACAAGATACAACGAACAGAATTATAAATTGTAAACGTTTTAAAATACTTTCGTTTTTGCATTATAGAGTATATTTTAGAGTTTATATTTCTGTTAAAATTTATTAAGTATATTGAGAGCGTATGGATCAAGATACAACGAATAGTTTCTAATTTATAATTTTGTACCAACCATTAATTATTCAAACTATTCGTTGTACCTTGCTCCGTACGCTCTCAATATATTTAATAAATTTGACCAAAAATATAAAACTCATGTATACTCTAAAATTCAATAACGAAAGTATTCCGTTTAAAACGTATACAATTTATAATTTTCTACCAAACATTAATTATTGAAACTATTTGTTGTATGTTGCTCCGTAGGCTCTCAATATATATAATTATAAAACTTATGTATACTCTAAAATTCAAGAACGAAAATATTCCGTTTAAAACGTTTACAATTTATAATTCTGTACCGACCATTAATTATTCAAACCTTTTAAACGGAACACTATCGTTTTTGCATTTCAGGGTACACTTTAGAGTTTATATTTTTGTTAAAATGTATTCAATATATTGTTAGCGTATGGAGCAAGATACAACGAATAATTTGAATAATTAATGGTCGGTACAGAATTATAAATTGTAAACGTTTTAAAATACTTTTGTTTTTGCATTTTAGAGTATATTTTACAGTTCATATATTCGTTAAAATATATTAGATATATTTAGACCGTTTATTTATCGTACTTCGTTCCCATAGGATTTACGCTATGGCGATTTGTTGTCGAAATAAAAGTCTGGCTTGGCTTGGGTAATTTGCGAAAATAGAATAGTCGTTTTGTAGAATAATTTGCGAGTGAACGCAGCACAACGAGATTCCTTTGCTTACAGACTACGACAGGGATAACGGTTCGCCGTCGATGAGGCCACCAGGCGAGCCTCCTGTGGACGCCTCGCTGAGTCCAGGCGTATCCCATCGGGCTCAGCTCGTTCTTCACCTTTCGGTGAGTCTCCTGTCACTGCTACTTCCAGCTATCCGAAGGTGATTCTCACGTCGCGGGAACGGGGCTTCCAGTTCTAGTGTTTATTGGACGGTGACCAGACCGGAGACGGCAACCAGTTTCCGGTACGCCGCCTCCGGCTGGATGATGGACGAGTGCGACGAAACAAGACGCGCTTGAAATTATTTTCATACTAAAAGTAGACGTATACAGAGAGCAAAAGAGGATATTATATATGAAAAAAAAAAATATATATATATATAAATATATGAAGAAATATAAATACAAATACAAATATAATATGTTGTGTAAGTATACCGCAGTGAGTAACGAAGAAATCCCTAGGCTTACGGTTTACCGATCGTTTTGTGACAAGCGACGTTCTTGCGTTGAGAGACATCGCCCGTCTCTCCGTGATTCGCGAATTGAGTGTATTTGCGCGCCGAAACGAAGAAACTCTGTCGGCTGAATGAAACTCGGCGCGAAGGAGATCGTCACTACGTACGAATCCTCCCCGTTTACGTTCCCACGAAAATTTCGACGCAAGCGTCGCCCCTCATGTAAACACTTGTGCTTCGAGCGTTCTGCCAAAAGTTTTATAATTAAAAAGCGCGTTTAGATGATTCCGTGCGGTTCCGTTTGCACAAGAGAAGAGAAATTGGATGGAAGGAAAAAAAAGAGTAGAGGCAGAGTGGTTCTGGATTTTCTTCGTTTCAGCTAATTACCTATGTAAATATCACTGATTTCATAAATATTCAGGAACGTTTTGCAAGGGTTCTCGATCCCACCCGTCGTCAAACTCGCTCTTCTCCGTTTGTACTCGACGTTAGAATTACCTTCTTTACGAAACGAGAAAACGAAAAATGTTCTCACGCATCACGCCTCCCGGAGAAAATAAATTCGATCGTCTCTCGATCACGAGCCCGATGCCCGAAGGAGCGTTCGAAGCGTATGTAAATCCACCGGTCACGAGGAAATCGTTATTTTACAACCAATTCTTACGTACGTTTCATCCGTACACGAATCATTGCGAGGGGAAAAGAGAATCAGTCCTGCGTCAAAGTCCGTTAAATTCTTTTCGACGTCTCGCCAAGCACGACTCGCAGTCTCTATCAGGACTGAGTTCTCTTTCCATCCGCAATACACGCGACGATCTCATTACGCGTTATTCGAATGTAACGCAAATAATTCGAACTCCGCGATTTTTATTGTTCGTTCGCGATAATTTCTCTCCGATCGCGAGCAAAGCACAACTCTATTTCGGTACATATAATGCATATACGTACGCATGAAAGGATAAACGAAAACATTAATATACATATTACACATATAATCGAATCGTAGTTGTGTTGGTACACGAGCTCCGATGTTTCGTCGTTAGCCGTTCGATTGACAAAGCGTGAATGGATTAACGCGAGAGCTAGTCATACATACGTAATATACGCGAGAAGCGACTATTCACTGAATTTAACGGACATTCGCGTGTCCCCGCGTGTACGAAGGCGACGAAGGATGACGATGACGGTCGTCGCGTAGCCTCGAATCATCGGCGACGGTGTCTTCGAGCAGAGAGCTTCGTCGTTTCAGTTCAATTATGCGTCGCTGTGCAGAAAAGAAATGCTCTTTCCGGCGAGCTACATGTCAACGACAATATTTTTAGCTTTAACAAAGAATCAACGTGCGTACGACGCACAGCAAGTATCCCTGGAAAATTTAATCGAACTAATCAATTTCGGTATACCTGGCGAGGGAATTGGGCAAACTTCATTTTCGAACAACGAATGAAAACGTTAAATATACATCTACGAGGCTAGAGGCACTGGTAAAAGCTAGTTTACGAATTAATATAAAGTTTGTATTCATTGGTTGAAGATAAAATTTACTCAAGTCTGTGTGGCGATAGTGACTCGTGCTGTTTGAGAGAATGGAACGTCAGCTGATTCTCGGTCGCCATCTTGGCAGTTGCGCAAGATGGCTGCGCGGAAGCATCGCTCCGTTAAATTCGAATAATAGGTAACCAACAAAACCAACTGAATTGATGGATGAATTTCATTTTATCAAAGCGTTAAAACAGTATTTCCCAAAATGGGGGCGTAAACTTTAGAAGGGGGGTGTCTAACAATCAAAGTAGAGTATTAAAGAAAATGTTTAATGTAGGGATTCTATGGAACAAAGAACTTCCCTCAAATGGCAAGAATCATAATCGCTAGGTGTACATAGTTTAGATAAAATCACCGTCACTGATCCTAAACTTTGACATCTCTTTTTCTGGTCTAGGAACATTACTAGATCACTATATCCTCTTAATTCACCTAGTGAGCGCACGAACGAAAACGCCAATGGAAACCGGACTCTTGACAATACATTACGGTAGTCTCTACAAACGAAGTGTTTTCAAGTCTAATTCAAGTTTCGTTCCAGTCGGATGCGCATAGTCAATGATTAGGTGCACTATTGCTGAACAGCTCGGAATCATGCATTTTTGTAAAATTCAAATTAGACAACTCTTAGATAGAAAATTATGGAAGTATTTATTATTACATATCAATATTATTCGAAGAATGTGCAACGTTTCGAAATAACCTTTTCAAGTTTTTGTAATTTTCTCAGATCTGATTAGATAGAGGAATTTTGTCATTCACTGTCATGTTGTTCTAAACATATCAAAATTAGGAACTCGGCCATATCGTCCACGTTACGTTTAAAATCGAAGAATAGAAGATGATTCGAAACTTTTCAGGGGTAGTGCACTCTTTTAGAAAGGCTTTCGCGGTGTTCTATTTCTGGTCGTCAGCAATTTTACACGTGCATGCAACGGATTCAAGCGAGAGATACGAGAAACGTTACGCGTCTTTGCCGATTAATTCTGTAAATATTGTAGATATGTTGTGCTGTGATCAATCTGAATCGTCGTTTTTTCGCGGGGATGATTCGAGGCTGCGATTGTTAAAGCGAGTGCTAAAAGCGAGTGTTGTGAATAGCATGTACACTAACTGTTCGGAACGATATGACGATGATCGTATGAAGACATCGTTCAGTAGGAAAAGAAAAAGAAATTGAAGCTGCAGCGATCATAGATATGTCGTATTAAAATATTATGATAACGTTATTAATGTATCATGCCCGACAGTCCCACTATACCGTGGAATTTTTATGGATTCGCTGGATATTCCGAACGATCCGCGTGAATTAGATATAGATAGTGAAACTGTCGGTCTGAATATCTTAATAAATATCGAATACATGACTGCCATTATAAACGACTATTCAATTATTTAATAATTTTTATCTGATCAAACCTATTTTAAACCTGTTTCCTTCGTAACGCTTTATTTTCTATTCAGTCTTCATTGAAAGCGAAGAGTATTATTTTTCATGGATGGAAGCAAAGTTGACAAAGGTAAGTGCTAAAAATTTTATTCAATTAGCTCTTAGTAAGACAAACAGACGATGAGCTTTGCTTCAGTCGTTCGAGTTGAACGAAATTTCATTATTATATTAAATTACATAGATTTTGTGAAAAATGAAAAGTCTCAAACGTCGATTCGAATATTATTAGAACTTGGACGTTCGCTCGAGAAAGGAAATAATTAACATATAGGTACAAGGAAACTATTTCAGAAACGTGGCAAGTTCTGCGACTCCAAGAACCTTTACGACTGACCTGCAATTGTACGTTACTACTGTCGCCTTACAATCCCTCCGCGTCGCGACGCGTCGCGACGCGTCGTCGTTGAACCAAACCAGTAAAGCAATAACAGCAGAGAAAGGTAGAGAATATCTGCACCAAATCAGCCCTCTGACGTTCCACGTCCTACGATAACACAATAATCTTTTGAAATTTCATGGCGCGATGTCCTTTGACATATTGGATATGCTCGAGTAATTTTCATTCATAATGAAACCATATAACGAGTTAATGCGTTCCATTGTTTGCAACTCGCATCGTCTGTCCCAATATCGAGCTGATAGCTGTCTAATAATTCATGTCGTTGTTTTCAGTAAATACGCAAACGATGACCCTCTTCGGAACGTAGAATGATTGACACTGTTCATTAACGAGATATTCGACGATGCAAATTGACTTTGCAAATGTCGCGCAAACAAATGTAACTGCTCTTTTACTCTGTGCGTGTTGTGCCGTAAGTTGAAAAAATAATCGTAGGTTGTCTGCTCGCCTTCGGTTCGTAAGACGAAATAGTAATTATTTGGCAGACATATACAGGCTGATCGGCCACCCCTGGGAAAAATTTTAATGGCAGATTCTAGAGTCCAAAATAAGACGAAAATCAAGAATATCAATTTCTTAATTGAGGCCTCGTTAAAAAGTTATTAAAAAATTTAATTAAAAAATTTCAAATCGTTTTGGGAAAATTATTTTCGGTTGAGGGGGTCAATTATAATAATTTTTTATGAATAGACATACTCCCGAAATCCTACGCACTTTTGAGAAAAAAATTCCTTACCGAAAATATAATATGTCTGACCATACATTGATATGTTTCCCTGAAATTTCGTGTATATCTTTGAAACGTCATAACTTCTGAACGGATTGGAGGATTTTAATATTTCAAACGGCAAACAACGCGTATTTTAGCGAAAAATATGTAGAAATCCTAAAAATATTTAAAAACTTGTTCCTTGACCCCGAAAACTGAAAAACCCCCCATAAAAATGGTCCAATCTTCAAACGCCCATAACTTCTATAATAGTGAAAGTATCTCAATGAAATTTAATATGGGCGTAGACCTCATAGATACCTACAAAAAAGAACTAAACAAAATATCTGTAGGACGTCAAACAAATTTATTAAGAATGAAAAACGAATTTTTAAGAAAAATCGACAGGGGGTAGCTGCTTGTCGAAAAAAAATTTTTTCAAATCCTTCTAAAAAAATTATTTTTGTTTGCGTGGGTCAATTATAAGCATTGTTGGTGAATAGACATACCCCCGAAATCCTACGTACTTTCGAGAAAAAATTCTTTACTGAAAATATACTGTGTTGCCGGAAATGTTTTTATAACATTTTAACAAGACCTCAATCAACAAATTAGTATTCTTGATTTTTATCTTATTTTGGCCTCTAGAATCTCCCATTAAAATTTTTCCCAGGGTTGGCTGAACACCCTGTAGATATTTAAAAAACAACTTGTTGTTTGGCCTTTTCTTTCTATAATTATAATATTTGTTTTCTCTGTGTGGTTATAATTAT